TCTTCCACTTCAAATTTTCGTCGATATAAATTTTTTCACTTTTACTGTCGCATTGTAATAGAATAAAATTGTTGCTACCTTATCCAGTAAGCATGAATCTTTTTCAGGACCGAGTGATTACCATTCGAACGTCGGCAATTTGGCATACGAGGTGTTGAAGCGTTACAAATATGCCCATTATAAATCAACTCAACCACAAATGTATTTTAATGAACCTTCTTTCCATGAAGAGCAATGTAATATTGTAGAAATTCCAGGAAAAATTGAAGAAAAAAAGAGCAGTGTGTATCATGCTGCTTTCAAGTCCAGAACAAAGAGATTCAAATCTGATAAGGTAATTTGCTTCGAACTACCTCAAAATAATAATGTTATATCTCAGATGACGTACAGGATAGACCTATTTAACACCTTATGGGACTTTTTGTCCAGTGTTTTAGGGCCGAGAAGCCCCTTACCATTTTCGTGTCGCTCCCACCATTACCGATTTAGCATAAAATAAGATCACAATATTAGCAGTGGTTTTGGAATTAAACCTAACTTTCAAATTATAAATAAGAAAGTAACCTAATTCTTTATCAGTAGATGATTCATCACGTGCGCGTGTTCTACTGTTATCAAATGATCGTAAACAGTTTTATTCACGGAATTCAATATATTTACTCCTACACACTAGGAAAGATAACTCGTCGAAGTATTTAGCAATACAGAAAAGAGTTAGATAAAGAATAAAATAGGAGTAGATAAGGAAAGACCTAGAGAAATTAGTTAGATAAGGAGAGAAATAGGAATAGATAAGGCTAGCAACTAAGAAATGAGTATGACAAGGAAAGATATAGGGATAGACAAGGACAGAAAATTTGAAAGGTGGCACTAACGCCATCTAGCGTCTGGTCACGCGAACTACGAATACTCAATAGGAACACAGGATATAAACAAATGTGTTAGACAAGGAAAGCACTAGTGTGCGACAAGGACAGAGATAGAACGTTTCCTATTGGCTGGCGGGCCGCTACGCTCCGCCTCCCAGAGCCCACGCCGCGTGTGCGGTGAAAAATCGTTAATAACTCAATAATTAGGATGATTTTGTGAACTTTTAGAATTGAAGAATGGAGTATGGACCTTTAGCAACTTTCACATATAGTTTTTAGTCCCCTGAACCCTTTAGATAATTAGTTATTAACGATTTTAGTGCGTGATGTCTGGAACGATACCGCAGACCGTCAAGTATCTTTACGGTTTTTCAATAATTTCATTGCTTTCTACTAAATTCCCGTAAAAGTATCTATACGCGTCTAAAAGGCTACTCCTTTAGCTACATTCTTATATAATTTTTATAAACAGATGCAGTTTAGTTTAGGAATTATGAAATATTATATGGGAGCGTCCCATATTCATCGTACTCGAGTATAGAGAACTGCTATAAACAATTGCTAATATCTAATAAACCACACCACTTAGGGCTTCCAAACTAATAGCAGAATATAGATAAAGGTCCATTCTATATTCTACATGCTTTAAAGTGTATAATTAGTCACGCATTAGCCTGTCCGTATCTAAGTTAAAATTAACATTTAATTTTTTACCAGAGGTACAATATTGTAACCACAGATGTCAGCACTAGGACTATTGGATGATGCTGCCAGCTAGTAGACAATTTTAGAACTAATCGTCACATTTTATCAGCCTTGGATGATTAGTCTATTCCAGGGATCGGCAACCCCAGCTTTCTGCAAAGTTCTCATGCAACTAACTACACGCGTCTGAAAGACAATTCCTTCAGCTACATTCTTATATAATTTTATAAACAGATTCAGTTTAGTTTAGGACTTATGAAATATTATATGGGAGTGTCCCCTATTCATCGTACTCGAGTATAGAGAACTGTTACAAACATTTGCTAATATCTAATAACCCACACCACTTACGGCTGCCAGGAAAATTGCAGAACATAGATAAACGTTAATTCT